TCCTATATGTAGAGATAAACTATGATGAACCTTAGAATGAGATTTTATTCTCTCTTTACACTGTTTCTCCACTGTGTCTCACCCAGTTCGTGTTTTCCAGGGTTGTCAGAGATCTCCATGACGTAGAGCTTCAGGCCCGTGTAACTCTTCCCGATGCTGTAGATACGAGTGATGTCAGGACACGCCTCATTCACCGACTTCATCAGCTGGGAAACAACAACAATGGTATTTAGAGGAGTGAGACTGAGACCGTCGTCTGCTAGAGAGTGCTCAATGCACTACAGCGTGTTGAAAAGGGAGTGAAATATATCACTGATAATTAATTTAATTAATTTAATCATCAATCCACATTATTAAGGGTCCAAGCTGCAAAGCCTACATTTTCTTCTTCTGCCTATATCCCCATTTTCACCTAATAAATATTCCATCATTTTGAATTTGGTCCAAATCTGTTTGTAGAAGAAGTAGTGTGGTGGTTTAAGATCTTGGAGAAGATCTTAGTTGTGAGTTTGAACCCTGCTAAGGGCAGTATTCAGCAGAGTTGAAGGGGGGAAAAATGCACAGGTACTTCCAATCTGCTGTTTGAGGCTGCAAATCACAGTCCGTGTGATAAGACCCCTCTATCTTTCTCTGTTTGTCACCTTAAACCCTATGTACATAAACAACATAACACTGATTTGGTTGTAAAAAGTTCTGCAAATGTGATGTCATTGTCTCAACCTGTGAGAAGGTATGTGGACAGTCATGTCTCCCCAGTGGTGCAGTTAATGAGTCACCTTCTCTTGTCAATGAAATAAGAAACAAACATCCAAATGCTCACAGTCTGCTTGGACCAGGTCATTGCTGCTTGTGGCTATATTTATTAATAATATCCTGGCATTAAACTTTACCACATTCAGCCTTTTGATTGTGTGAAAATGTTCCAAACTCAAAACAAGGTTTGAATTTCTGCATGCAGTTGGGACTCCCTACCATGTCGGTGTATTTTTTGCATATGTATCATTCATTCCAAAATATCTTCTCTCATTCGTGGTCATTGTCAGTGAAAACATGTGGGGAAAGTAGGATACACTGCAGAAGAACATAAAGGTGTGAGATCGAATACCAGTAGGGGTCTACAATACAAAATTAACTTTGAAGGCCACAAAACACTTGAAAACATGCACAATAACAAAGAGGCTGAACCTGAATTTTCCTGTCACTCAGACGCTCTTATTTGTGCATTTGTATTTTGTCCATCAATAAAAGACTATTTCCAGTCACTGTTAAATATTTGTGCAGGGATGTTGTCATTGATAATTGACTTCTATGAACGAAAAGTGTGGAAATATCATGAATTCATTCTAAAAAGTATTTTAATTTAAGTCTTTTTAAAGAACTGCATTGGTTGCTGCTTAAGAGAGGTATAGTAAATCACTGGGGGTGACATGTCTCCCAGTCACCCCCATAAACTTGCACTTCCATACTGTATTTGTGTGAGCTGTCAAAGTTGTGTTAAAATGCAGAATGTATTCAAATGTGGAATGTGGAACTGTGTTTGTTTCTGTGGGCTGTTTGGACGGAGTCTCCAAACACAGCACAGTGGGGACGCTGCCATGAAGGAGTGAAACCTCCCGTAATGTTGGTTTTCTTGTTGGTCGGACTGACACCAGACCACACACACTGTGGGAGATTCCTAGACTCACTGCAGAAACCTGGTTTGTCAACATGAGTTAAATCAAAAAAAAAAAAAAAATGCTATGATCACAATCAGCATTATACATCTGACTCTGTCTTACTTTCTTCATCTCCTTGTAGTTGTGGTGTCTGAAGTCCAGTTTGTCTCTGGACTCTGCCGGCTGTGTCTGCCATGCGTAGATATTATTTGGATCTGTGAAATGGGAAAGGTGTGTGTTACCAAACAAAAACCAATCTCTAAACAAAGTTATAGTAGAAATTATGAACAGACTGCCTTTTGTTAAAACAGGAGGAGCATTCTTGTGTTGAGTCTTATGGTTTTTGTTTTGATTTTTTCCCCTTTTGAGTAAATGCAGCAATCTTATGTTCTATACATTATATGAATGTAAAAGGCTGTATTTCAAGGTGTTAAACATTTAAATAAAAATATTGTGGGAAAGAAATTAAATCCTTATAAAGACATTGTTCCTGCACCTGGGAGTGTGCAGCCCAACACCTCGGCTCTCAGGCAGATGTCACCGTCCGTCCCGTTCTGGTACCAGGTCTGTGGGTTGATCCGGATGTAACGGGCCACAGCGGACGTATTGAAAAGAGCGAGGACAGGAGTCTCTGCATCCTGGTTTCCTTCAAATACCTGCAGCACATGGAGATATGGTGAAATACAAGGAAGCAGAATAAGCAGAGTTTTGTGGGATGAAAGCACAATTCCATCCTTCCTGCCTGCCTAATATGTCCGGTCCATATCCACTGTGGATTCTGTAATAAAAGCAAAATTGTGTGATTTTCAAAAAAAGACCTGACAACACTACTCATACTCATTAGCTGTGGGGCTAAAAACTACTACTTACTTTCATACCACTGCAAATCATTGTTTTTAGCTTCCATTTGGGCAATCTTCCACTCTCTCTTGCTTTGATGTTATTTCTTTCTGAGATGTACTATGTGTCTTTTCAACACTTGTATGCCCTCCCTATAAACTGACTTATGAAAAGATGTATGTTTTACTCATTTGTCTCTCGAAGACATTCAAACCAGCCTGATACCTCGTGGAAAAAATCTTTGCCTGACTGACACTTCATGGTCAGCTGTGGCTGTGCCACACATGCCTTAGAGACCACTCGATTAAACAAACCTAACCAAGGCTGCAATGTTTCCAAACCTATTTTGGCATCCTGAAAAACCAAAACTGAATTTAACCAAATCATACAGGTCATATATATTTGGGTTTTTGGGTTTTTTTTCATGCGCTTCAATAAACACTGACCAAACTTTCCTTTACAGGCCTTTTTTGGAATGATGGTAACAGTGTGTGTGTGAATTTCACTGTAATGACTTTGCCTTTCTTTCTCTCTTTCTTCCATATACTGACATTAAGAGTCTTCTGCAGGAGTTTCAACATGAACTGATGAACTGTTTCTATCATTAAATAAAAGATTCAAAGGAGGTTTACCAAAATAAGACCTCTTTGCAAAGTTTAATTTTATGGAACTCTTAGTTTCATACTGACTTTGTGGCAATGTTTCTAATAACTTGCTGGTATGTAGTTGTTAATTGTGGACTATGTAATTTGATACTATAATTTAGGGGACATTAGAGGACATGAAATATAAGACGGAAAATAGATTGGTTAATGAGTTTATAAGAAGCCATTTACATTTTGGAGAGAAACGTTTTGAATAAGTTTGATTTATCAGATTCTGATGTATCATTTTTTCTATTAATGGTTTCATCTTTTAGTATATAAAATGGCACAACACATCTTTCCAGGGTATCGTCTTCAAAAAGCAGTCAAAAACCCTCAAAATATTCAGTTAACAATGAAAGGAAAGAGAAAAGTACAAAATCCTAACTTTTGAGGATGTGGAGATGTTTAAATGTATGTTCTGTTGGTCAACTTATCAGTAGTTTTATCTCTACTAAAAGATAACTTACAGCAGCTTTATCAGCACGAACTGGTTTATATTAACTTGACAACTTAAGGATGCCGGGCCTGACTCTGCTTACCCATAAGTCAACACATTCCTGCCTTCAGTGGAAAAACCAGTAATCATCTGAGTAATTCTTCCCACCTCCTCCTGGTTTCTGCTTTACTCATTACATTTACCAAATACATTTTCAAATAAGCTATCTACTCTTTGATTATGTGGTTTCTGAAAAAAAAAAATCCTTTATCCTTTTTCTGCTGAACCACCACCTCTGCCAGCTTTAGACAGAAACACGTAGTCAGAGCTGCCACTGAAATGATTTATTTTTTCACAGGGTCAGATGGAAGTGAATCGGGTGTAGTGGTCAAGGTCAGGTAGGGTAAGGTTTTGGGTAAGGGTTAGGGTGGGATGGGGGTTAGAGGAATGTGGAGGGAGGTTAGGGTTATGGTCAAGGCAATGACTTGTCTGTTCTCAGTTGACAGCTGAACTCCCTGTCAGTGCCCTCCATTTCTTCCTGATGTTGTGGAAGAAACCACAGATGTTGTTTTCCTTTGGCTTGGTGACTCCATCAAGCACTTCATCTTGGTTGCCCTGGGTGTCCTTGCCCTGGGCATCCACAGACAGTCGCCCTCCAGCTTCCTGCTGGAGCCTGGAGGAGGCAGACATCCTGCTGACCCTTCCCTTCACCTTGTCGGAAATCAGCTGACTGTAGACACCAATGGCGCCCTCATACTCCTCAACCGACTTCTCCCAGTTAGCAGCAGATGAAGGGTCGCTTTGGACTTGGATCATGTGACCCATTCCCCAGGATGGAGGAGGGAAGACGACCGATGTCAGCAGGCGTTTGACAGTTTCCTCAACAAATACATACACCTCCTCACAGGGCTGGATCAAACCACTAGGACATCTTGCCTGCTCGCCGAGTTCGGAAGCAGAGGAAGTCAGTCTGCTGGCTTTCAGCGAATCCCTACGACTCTGTTCCTTTTGGTAAAACAAGGTAGTGATCTTGTCAGTCAGCACCTTAGAGAAGTTGGACAGCTGGTCCTGCCTGATCAGCTCTTCTAGCCCGGACAGCGACCCATCACCGCCCTGCACGCTGCCCTGTTGTTTCAACGACTGCTCTGTTTCATCCAGGAAAGACCTCACCACATCCGTCATGCTCTTGACCACGGATTCACGTGAACCAGTTGCTGCCTTGTGGCTACTGTGCATAACACCGCCCCTCTGGGTGTCCTCATCTGCTATGTCACTCATGTTGGATAGAACAGTCATTTCTTTTTCTATTTCGCCCTCTTTCAGTTTTTCTGAAGCCTCTTTTTGGAAGTTGAAAAAATCCTGCAGCTTCTCCTGCAAATGGAGCTTTAGCACTGTTGCTGTAGAGGCTACTTGCTCCTCAGACACTGTGGTGTTTTCAGACTGTTGCCAAGGAAGGGTAGATTCCGTTGGCTGTGGCTGGCACAGTTTGATTTACACTGTTCACCACAACATCCAGCATCTCTGAGGCCACAGAGTCCACAGAAGCCATGCAGAGTTCAAGCGAAGGGGCCATTGCCCCGAAGTTCTGTGAGAAAAACGTCTGCACTGACCTCATGAGGAATTCCTTCAGTTCCTTCAGGCTGGTATGACGAAACCTCCTGCATGATAGGTCTTTGACTACATCCTGAGAGCACACGGTCATCGGATAAGTTATCATCATGCCCTGAAGAGGTGATCCCTCTCTGACTTCAGGGTTTGTCTGCAGTGTTTTTCCATCTCTTTCTCTATTTTTAAAGGCTGTTCTCACTTTGCTGATGGAGCACTGAAGTTTCTCGTGAAGGTGTGTGAAGTTGCAAAAGAAGTCCTTTTCAAAGTCTTCCAAACTTTCCAGATCAAATTGGTCCAGATATCTGTTTTGGGTCTCTTCCTCTGTAAATTCTGAGGATCTCATTTTGATGGCCAGGTGTTTCAGGATTTTCGTTGCAGTTTTTTCTGTCTCTGCGCCTGCTTCTATCTTCTCTTGACAGACGTCCATGCTTTTAATGATAGCTGAGATCACCTCCTCTGTTGCCGGTACCAAAAACTGTTCGACGTCCTGCCATAATTCTACCTCTGCAAAGCCTCCATCCACAAAGCTCAAGGCCTTCCCGGTGACAGACGTGACCTCTGCCACCTGTTCCTGGGCCTGATCTGCACAGACCTCAGCATGGCTTTCAAGAGGAGGGGTGCAGGCACCGAGCCCAGTTGGGCTCTGGTTCACCTGCTGCTCTACTTTTCCCGGCATGCTCCTGGCAGAGGACTGGGATATAGATCTTCCCAACGACTTGGCCAGACTTTCCTCATTGACTCCAGAAGACTTCTGGACAGGATCTTCGATGAAGGGTCTCACCATCACAGGGGAGGATCTGCAAACAAACAAACAAACAAGCAATTTCCTGATAAATCACACATATGCTAACAAGTACTTTTTTACAGAGCCAGGGTCACAGTCTCAATCAAAACAAAAATAGGCAACCATAAACTCTCTTCTATGCCTGAAATAAGCAATTAATTTCATTATTGATTCATCTTTTGATTATTTTATTGACTGTACAACAGAAACCTGTACCAGTACCAGGAAATAGTTAAAAACATCCTTTGAATGTTCTTGGAGCCCAAAGAGACATCTTTAAATTGCTAATTTTATATGATCGAGATTACAAAATATACAAAAAATAAGTAAATAATAATAAATAAGTGAATTCTCATATTGGAGAGCTGCAGCTAAATGGCAATAACCAAATAAATAAATTTCCCCCCAATTCAATCAGCATTTCAATTTCAGTTTCAGCATTGGATGGATAGGTTTCTCCATTTGTATTTGTGTTTAAATTCACTTTTATATTAATAATTTCATCATCATTACCATTATGAATTTGAGTTTATTGATAAATTAGCCTTCCACTATCAGAAGAATATCTGGATTTAAAATATAGTGCATAGAATTTTCTTTTTACAAAGTGATTAAGTTAAACATCAGTAAGTTTTTAAGCATTAGTAGACACACTAGGCTTTATTTTGACTCCCTGACAAATACTTGACGTTTTTTGGGTCTAGAATCCCCCAGAAGGCTAACGGTGCCCCTACGCTGACCTGTTAAGAGGTGTATCTGAGTGAGAGGTGGGCCTGCTGTCTGTGCTCTGAGTCTCCTCCTCGCTATGACTGCCATGCAACTTGCAGGATTTGCTGGAGCCTCTGGAAGCCACAGGAAAGTCGTCTTCGGCCTGGAGGCGGTCCATCAGAGCCGGGACCAGCAGTTGGAAAACCAGCTCAGACACCACCCTGATGATCCTCCTGGACACCCGGGCCAGGTGAGTCTGTGTCAGCTGGAAAAAAGGAGAAATCACAGAAAAGCTGTTTAATGTTGACTGTACTGGACACATTGTGAATGTCTACTAACATTCCAAAGAACAGACATAAGTTATTCAATGACTTTCACTGGAGTCTGGGGCTATTTTGCTTTAAATTCACTATCAGAACCTGTGAACTTGATATCTCTGAGAACAAACTTTTCATGTTAAATTAAGTTGAATTCTTAAGGCGTTAAAACAACTGAATTAGACCTTAAAACAAAGTGAAACCTGACAGCTTCTGGCACATGAATGTAGGATTCATTTGAGAAACCAGTCTCCCTTATATTGCAAATTAAGGAAAATTTAATTTTAAAATGTATGACAGCCTGAGTTTATGTTACAGTAGGGAGTGTATTATGAGATTATGAGATGGTTAAGGCAGTTTTAAAAGATGTTTACCATCTCATTAACTTCATATGACTGGGAGGATGTTTCCCAGCATATATCTTGCTGTATTTCTGTTTAATCGCTTTACTGAATCAAAGAGAAAAAGAATTTCCGCAGTTTGTACATTTTGGTTTACATTCTCTTCTGTTAAATAATCACCAAATGCAACTGAAGCTATAAACTTCAGTAGAGATAAAAGGTGTGTTTGTGCAGAGGCAGCAGGTCACTTACTGGTTGTCTCATCCTCTCCCGTATGCTCTCCCACTGCCGGTCCTCCAGGGTGTTAATGAAGGAGGAGAGGAAGTCGGAGCAGAGATCTTCCTCTTCCTCCCCCTCCCTCTCCCTCTCGTTCAGGAGGGTCTTTGCCACATATCGCAGAGCCGCCGCCCGGCCCTCATTGCAGGGTCTTGCTGAATGCACCGAGTCGGTGTTGGTGCTCCGAGTCGCACTTGTCTTTCTGTCTCCGCGGCACTCCATCATCTTAAACATTATATCCTCAAAGTCCGCCAGGGTAGATGGTCGTGTTGGATGGTTAGGCCAACCAAATATCAGACTTCACCTCGGGATACTGCTGTTGTGACCGTCAACGTTGTTTAGTTTTTTTAAAGAATCACAATGATCGTTCCGTAACCATAACCGCATCTTCACTACTGTAACCATGACGACGAAGCCCCCCAGGTTTAGATGAGTAGGCCGCAAATTTTAAACTCAAATCATCACATTTCCCTAACTTTGACAAAGTACTGATTTTAACCTAAACCATGATATTTTATGTGTGCCTCCAAAGCAAACTTTATCCTTTGTCCCATCATAAAACGATTTATTTTTCAACAAAACGGTCATAACCTATACCAAAATAAAGATAAAGTAGGCTATACAAAAAAAAAAAAAAAAGAAAATGATGATGTAAACAGCAAAAAGCAAACAAATGAATGAACAATTAACATTATTTTCCAATACAATCATCCACTATTTCAGCGATAGACATGTTATCCTACATGTCCATCTTGTCTTCTGTGCGTAATGTGGCCCCAAAAGTGCCCAACATGGCTCCAGTCAGAGAGTGCAGGTGGGACAGATAGCCGCTGCCTTCAGCTGGCTGTAGAGTCAGCAGAGTAAAGGAAAGGCCTTCAGTAGAGGCTGATAACTGTCTTATATGACACTCTTTCATCTTCATTCTGCCTCACTGCACAGTGATGCAATAACCGGAATACCAAACTGTGTTTTCGGTGTGATCACATACCAGTTGGTTCAATAAAAGTGAACAAAACATGATTGAAAGGGGTTTGTGTGATTTTAGCTGGGATTCCACGTATTATGAACAGCGCGGTGAGCTGTCGACCTGCATGAGACGCACTGATTGCGGTGAGCAGCTGGACTGGCGTCGCCAGCCTCTACTGCAGTGGTTCCAACCCTTTCCATAAGGGACCTCTTTACTATCACTGTACAGTAAACTGACAACCCCTGATTGAGGGACATTTTTATGGCTATTTCCTTTATTTATCCCCCTTAGGAGAAATTCAGGTTGACACAGCAGCACTAGGGCAAAGTAGTGCAAAACAGAGAACAAAGAATATCACAAATAAAAATATTACAAAATACAAAATATAATAGAAGATATAAAACTATAAATTAAAGTATATACACTATGCATTGTTCAAGTAGGACATGGAATGCAAAATATGGGCAGACAATTAAATTTGACTAAAACTAAACTAAACTTTACAAGTGGAAATTAAATATAAATAGTGCAAAAGGCTTGATATTATATGCAATGCATAACAATAACATTAGAGATAACATGATAAACTGTACAATGAACCCAGTGAACACAAGAACTGGAGGATGTTTGCGTAAACCGAGTGATTTGGGTGAATTTTGAGCAGATTATTTCCTGTGAACATCAGAGATGACTTTTACTGATATTTTAAGTAACTTTTTATACAATTCTCTGTCTGTATTATGAATGCTCTGTGAATAGGCTATAGCTTGCATTAGGTCTTCAGAGAAAATAGATTTTAAATAATAATCGAAACTTTAAAAAAAACAACGAAATGCGGAGATACTGTTCATATTATAAGATGAGATTTATTTTGTGAAATACTTAACTATGTTTATTGAATTTGCATGAGTGAATTAATGGTAATTACATATATAAGCATATTTGTATTCTGTTCTGCAATGTAGATGAGAGGAACTACATAAGGTGCATGTTACCAATGGTTAAGATTGGCGGAGTGATAGGATGTAAAGTAGTGTTCAGTTGTCCTACGGTTGAAGCGGACAAGTGGATCGAGTAACCGAGATGAAGTTGTCTCTGTGCTCTTGCTTTACCCACGACCCAAAGGTAGCTTTAATACAGTAACTATCAGGTTTATAGTTAACGCTAAGAATACCCAGCGTTACAGCATCTTTAAAGTTTTCTTAAACCGCTTACAATCAACTGCACCTCTCCTCACTAAGATACCAAACCGGCGCAGTATTTACAGGATCAAATGTGTGTGCAGGCTGCGTCAAAATCTGCGTAAAATCTGCGTCAAATCTACGTAAATGCGCCTGTGGAGGTTCAGATAACCTGCAGCTTCACTCTGTCTACTGGACGCGTTGCTCCCTGTCCCATAGAGGCTATTTTTGTGTAGTTTTTGGAATATAAAAAGGTAAAGAAATGTGCTATTTGTTCTTATTCCCTGCGCCATTATCTTGCTGCGGCCTGTTTCTGTTCAGCAGCTCCTCTAAACCTTTATCCGGGTGAAGACAGGCAGTCACATCAGGACACTGAGGCAGTGAACTGACACTGAGAGCATCAAATGTTTTTGGTATTTGGACTTTATAAATGACTGAAACGATGAAACATGATAAAGAATAGTTGCCAATTATTTTTCACTTGATTTATTAGTCAGTTGATCACTACAAGAGTCTCAATATGATCAGGATTCCCCCCGTTGTGGGATTAATAAAGTAATCCAATACAATTATAAATAAATAATAAAGGGCCAAATGATTTCCCTAATTAGAGCCCATCAGTAAGGTGTCGCTGGTAGTCATGGTGATGAGGACTGACGTATTTAGCGGCTCCTATAATAAAGAAGTCTTAATTCTAACTGTGCACCTGAGCGCAGACAGACAGCAGCTCAACTCTGAAACTGTCCACCTGCGGGATCCAAGTGCTGATCTGTTGAAGAGTAAAAAGTCTGAGTTCAGACAACGTCTGTGTTGACCTGCTAACATCTGGGAGTGAGAGAGCAGCTGTTGCAGTGAGGACGCAATGGCCCCCTCTGGTTTGAGGCGTGAGAAATACCTGCTGACTATAGGCATCCTCCGTTTGCTGGATGAGCGCTATGGTAACACTCAGTCAGACATTGTTAGCTCCGTGTCATTCCTCTACAGAGACTCATATAAGATCATTAACTAACTTACATCAATAAATACAATAACAACAACACATATTAGTTATTCCATGTTGTTGGTTGACAGTATTCCCCAGAAGGGCAGTAAAATGTCCCACCTGTATTAAACTCGTTATCTTGGTGTAAAATTATTATAGATGATAGATTTTATTGAGAGAGCACGAGGCAGGTGAAAAAAGTCAGATTATTAATTTTATAAAAATGAGAACAAATATTTTTTTAGGGGCCGCAGGGTCGTCGGGTTTAACACTGACCGTATAGGACAAAGATGGCGACCGGGCCATTTTTTAAAAAACGCTCAAAGTTGTGTATGTTGCACGCGCCATGGAGACGACGTCAGATATTGGAACGAGCCCGAGAAGGCCGTGTGACGTCAGTGTGGTCAGGCTGTTTGTATGTGGGAGACTGACAGGGCTGTACTCACAGTTAATACGGGACAGACTTAAACACACTGTTGCTTCAGTAATGGGACAGTTTAGTTTTGAGTGTGAATGTAATAAATGAGACCTTCAGTTCCCTTATTACTGCCACAGTGTGCCCATATTGTGCTTTTAAAACTGCTTAGCTGCTTAATGAAATGCAGCCAATAAATCAGTTATTTAGCCTCACTGCAAGTTTTTATCTCTTCATCTTATTTTAAATGATAGAAATCAAACACTTTACATGTTATTATAAGAGAGGCAGACTGAAGGATCATTAAACACTATTTCAGTCACATGTCTCTTGTACCAAGAGTCAAAATCAAACAGCACAACTTCAGAACTTTTTGAATGTTAACAAAAATGTTCAAAAGTTGCATTGGATTCCAAGCCGTTTAAAGTTGTGTAGGGCTAAGCGATATAAAAACATTATATTTCCATTATTTTAACAGATATTGCGATTGAGAATTATAACTTTTGTGACACAAATCACATTTTCTCTGTTAAATAAGATTATATATACATATACTATGTGCTTTATTGTATGGATCTAAGTGTTCGTAAATCTTCACTCTCACGGTTGTAAAAATGATTAAAATCATGATGATGTGAAATTTTGGGGGTCTGTACCAAAAACATGTTGTTTTTAAAATCCTCATTCATCATGATGCTGTCTTTCACACATTTGTCAAAAAATTGCAGCTTCTGCAGTTTTCATGGACTTGGCCATATTATGATTTGGATAATATTTAGATTACTTGTGCAGCCCTAATGTGGTGTCTTAAAGTCTTCACATTATTGAACAATGTGAATAAACCTAAGGTTTTTCACAATAAAAGTCCGACTGTGAGTCTTCCTGTGAATAATGATATGAACAGTGCTTTAAAGTCATCAATGTGCAGCTCTTCTGACTTGGTCATCTGGGCTTTAATGAGTCCAGTCATGTTATCCTGACTCATGTGACTAATGTTCTCCTTTTCTTGATTGTCCATTCAGCTGCTCTGCCTCGGCCAGGACGGGTCCTCCAGCTGATAGTGACCAACCTGAGGAACCGTCCACTTACTGGCACAAACATGGACTCCATGAGGGACTCCATCCTGAGCCTGTACCACAACCTCATCACAGGCTCCAAAGACTTCCCTCTGATTCCGTTCAAGGGATCCTTCCGCACGCGTCAGACGGACACACCCTTCGTCCACGTGGAGCAGGAGCAGAGAGAGAACACCACGCCGTCTCCTCTAATGGAAGGACCATCGGGCATGATGGTGCCCACTCCAGACTCCAGTTCCGCTCCTCAAACCATACTGACTCCAGTTCTCCCTGAGAAGACGGAGCTGGGAGCCCTGAGGGGGGACCGTAGAAACCATGTTCGACACGTGGAGGTTGACGGCCGGAGTGTGACCAGGGTCATCTCCCCTGTGTACCACTCTGAAAGCACAGAGCTCACAAACCGCTGGAGAGTGAGCGACTACAGAGCTGATGGACACGTCCTCATGTCGGTCCTCTGTCAGTTTACCAAAGAGTCTACAGAGTGTGCAAGGACTCCGAGGAAGAAGAGGAAGAGGAAGGGCAGAGAGGAGGAGAAGCACAACAGCAGTCTGTCTCCAGCAAACAAACGCCTGAGAGTGTGATGGTCTCTTTATCCTCATGCTGGCAGGGTGGCATGATGAACCTTTAGTCTACTCCTCAGGGCCGCTGAGGCCCCTGGTAGCATCTTGCACCGGGGGCCACATGCTGCACCATATGAAAGATATAGTTGTCTGAGGGCTAGATATTGTACATTGTATATAGTTTGTTCACCATGGATGCAGCACACAGTGCAGTGCTTTGGGTGCATCTTGCACTGGTGCGTTTGCACCTTTCTTTACTTCTTGGAGCTGCCTGTGTGTCTGACATGGTGAAAGTAAAGGGAGCCCCGGGGACAGAAGATTAAAGGAAATCAGATGTCACGTGGCCACGCAGGATGATTTGGAACATCTACATTCCAGCGTGAGCAAGGAA